AGCTTAGCGCATTGTAATGCTTTCGTAATTTGATTAAAACTAAATTAAGAAACTCCTTTTAGTGGCAAGCAACATTTTAAATTTAAAAGAATTATATAAGATTTATTTTGGGTGTTTTTTTTAACATTTTAAGGTATTTTCTGATTATCATAACTACAGCCTAAACTTTAAAAAAAGTATAAACGTATATGAAGTTTCATGTAAAAAATATTATTTTAAGTTTTAAGTTATTGTGATATTTTTAATGCGAATTTATTTATTAATTTGTATATAATTTTCGTTCAAGGTTTTTGTTTTGTTTTATGATTTTTTTTTGTATTTTTTGGAAATGGATTCCTTTTTGGAATATTTCTGCTCGTAATTCAAAAAAACATCTGCTCTTATTTCTCTTAGCGTGCAGTATTCAGCATCTTGTTCAATTCTAAATAGTCTATCAGCTAAGTAAGATTCCAAAATTGCTACAAATGGTGATGGTGCCATTTTTCCTTACTTAAATATAAGGCTTTTGTACGATACCTTTTCGAATGATTGTGCTACGTCTAGAAATATCGAAGAGCAGATTTCTTTACTTTCTAAGCTTTTTTCTATAATATTCGTTATTCTACGGATCACTATTGTAGTATGGTTTCTTCTCAATTCAAACTGATGGTTTGGTGTGAGGCCCCTGTTTTCTTTTATTGGCTTCAATCTCCTTAAAAATTTCAAAAAGCTTAAACATCATTGGTAACAGTGAAATGGGGCTGTAAGACGTTGTTTTCTTTAAGGATTTCCCGGGTTTAGGCATCATAATAACTTCTGCGACTTTCCAAATACCAGGACATACTCAAAATCTATAGCTGTATTCGCGATTCTCATCAAATGTTACAGTGCCCCGTCTGATTAAATCCTAGCGATTTTTTCCACTTCAGGGATCTTATCTCTTCCGTAATTTCTACTTAAAATGCTCGAAGGGTATACTAAATTTGCCTTACCGTTTGTTACGCTAAGAACTAACGGTCTTAGATATAGATTCAAGTGTATGTTTTCGATCAGCATCAAATTCTGAGTTGATTTAGTCCGTCCGTCCCAACGATAACTCAAAAACTAATTGGGGTACCGGTTCGGGTAGCTGCCGTACAAGTTCAAAATTTATTTGGTTATATCTCAGAAACTATAAAAGCTAAGGTATTGAAATTTCACACAAGCGAATATATTAGTAGGGTCAATGTGTTTGATAAAAGTCGTTGAAATTGCTCCTTCTGGCACCTGCCATACAACTTCAAAACCTATTTGACTATATTTCAGAAACTATTAAAGCTATGGTGTTGAAATTTTACACAAGGAAATATTTTAATAGGGCCAATGTGTTTGATAAAAGTCGTTGAAATTGCTTGGCTCCTTCTGGTAGCTGTCGTTTAACTTCAAAAGTTATTTGGCTATATCTCGGGAACTATAAAAGCTATGGTATTGAAATTTCTTACAAGCGAATATATTAGTAGGGCCAATGTGTTCGATAAAAGTTGTTGAAATTGCTTGGATCCTTCTAGTAGCTGTCGTAGAACTTCAAAAGTTATTTGGTTATATCTCAGAAACTATAAAAGCTTTGGTATTGAAATTTCACACAAGTAAATATATTAATAGGGCGATGTGCTTGACAAATTTCTTAAAATTTCTTGGCTCTTTCTGGTAGCTGCCATACAACTTCAATAGTAGTTTGGCACACACAGTATTGTAAAAAACTCATTGTACTAAAATTTTGCATAAATTAATATGGCAGTTATGGCATCTTTATTCGCACATAGGATAACAATTTCGAACGGGTATCACAGAGTTGACAACGTCAACTCTATTTTTTCTCGTTGCGTTTTAAAATTTCACTGGTAGAATTTTGACGTTTATTTTTATTATGAGCATGATTTAATATCTAATTCGTAATTCATTTCCACTTCGGAATTCGTAATTTCTCCGAATTTCAGTGCGATGAGTGTGATTTACACTAAGCGTGATAATAAGGCAATAAAGTTAGTTGCAATGTTGTTTATTATGTTACAGACTATTCAAACCAAATCATATTAGATGAAATAAAAAAGAAAAAGTACAAAATGCTCACTTATGTGAATTGTTCAGAAAAAACTTCGACAAGCATTTTTTCTCCTCGTCAATATAAAATGACAATTTTTTTTAATTTAATAATATTTATCACTTATGTATATTCTTTTGCATTACACTTATTTAGAAAATAAAAAAATTTTATTGACTGTAACGCGCGATCAATATTTTTCTTTTAATTTTATATTATGGCCACACTTTTTTAACTTAAAAAGCAAGCAAAACAAATAAATTTTTCATTATAGAAAATTTTCCAGACCTCATCGAAGGCTTGCGACACGTCAAGAAAGACTCCAGTACAAACTTGTTTTGCTTCGAGAGCTGATTCAATTTCATTGGTTACCCGATGTACTTGTTGAATAGTCATATGACCATCCCGGATTCCAAATTGATGTGAAGGTATTAGATTTCGATGTTGAATAGTGGGAGCTAATCTTCTGTACAACAGTTTTTCAAAGATTTTTGACATAATTGGCAGCAGCGATATAGGTCTGTACGACGAGACGTCAATAGGGGATTTGCCCGTTTTTAATATTACTATGATTTCTGCAATTTTCCATATTCTAGGAACGTACATTAACTTAAAGCAGGAGCTTATAATTTCTTTGAATCTCAATAACGCGGTGTGGGGTAGATTCTTCATGATTTCACCAGTGATGAGATCGAAGCCCGGAGATTTTTTGTTACTGATGTTATTAATTGCAGATTTGAGCTCGGCTAATGTTGTTAACGGAATTTCTACCACGTCGTTTTTATAAATATAAATGGTATCTTCCTCATTACTCAACTTAGGGAAGGGTTTAAACACGCTCTTCAAGTGAAGAGCAAAGATATCAGCTTTTTCCTTCTCAGTTTTCGCCCACTGGCCGTTTGGTTTTTTAATTGGCGGGTCCTGGATTATTGGACGCCGGATCTTTTTGGTTGCCTTCTATAGTGAGTAATCTGTTTCTTTATCGTTATCCAGTTCGCTTAGATACTTTCTGATGGACTCGTTTTAAAATTCAGTAACCATCTTTCTTAATTTGTTGTTTAATTGATTAACTTTGTTTTGTCACCTGGATATCTAGTGATTTGCCACTTTTTCCTAGCCTTTCTTTTTTCTTTAATTAACTGTACAATTTCAGAAGGATAACTCTTTTGCACGTTCTTTGACTTAATTGCAGGGGTACTTTCGAGTGCAGCTTGCTGTATATCCGCCGTAAGTTGCTCGACCTCATTGTACAGTTGTGCGCATGTGAGAATTGCGTGCCCAGGCAGTGAGAAAAATATTAGTTTTTCCTTGAATACCTTCCAGTCGGTTTTTTTATTTACCAATCGGGGAGCAGTTTCCTTTTAAATAAAGTTGTCACTAATACTCAGTGTTACTGGAGTGTGATCAGAATTTAAGTCGAAATATGATTTAATTTCCAAGAAGTTGCTATTGATTCCTTTAGAGACAAAAAAGTCCAAAAGGTCAGGTATTTTGTTTGGATCAGATGGCCAATATGTTGGGGAGCCTGTTGATAGGAAATCACAATTTTTTTCTCTTGCAGTGTTAAAAAGGGCTCTGCCCCTAAGAGTTACCAGTCTCGAACCCCAGAAATTGTGCTTAGCGTTGAAGTCGCCACCAATTATGAAATTGTTATCAAGATAACTAAATATATCTGTGTGAGTTGGATATTTGATGTTTCGATTTTGTAATCTTCATACGCCAATAGATTTTCCTTGACAAAGATTGCTGTACCTCCATGTGCAACGTCGTTTGGAAGGGAAGTAAAATAGAAGTTAAAGTTAAGAATATTAACATATGACTGGTTAGTAAGATGTGCCTCGGATATTAAGCAGATGTAAATATTATAGTAGTTAAGAAATATTTCTAGTTCTTTTAGACGGGATAATAGTCCGTTTGCATTCCATTCAGTTATACGCAAGGAACGAATACGAGTCATTATTTATGCTTATTCATAAGTTGGAGATGTCTTGGCTTGCTTATTTTATAGATAATTTTTTCATAGGACTTTTCCTGCTCGTCCAGCCTTCTAATAATATAATTCAACAGCACCTTGATTGAGTCTTCTTCATTTTTCCTATGATTCTTAACAATATCCGAATATGTATTTTCAATATCTTTGCTATGACTTGGGATGCTTTTTATGACGTCCTTAGTATTTTTAACCTTGTCTTCTGAAGCATTTTTTGAATTTTTTTCTTGATGCGAAGGAAAGTTTTTTTCAGATAACAGCTTGAGTCTCTTTTTCTGTTGATCTTTTGCGAACGGGTAACCCCTATAGCTTGCGGGATGCTCTTCCCGACAGTTGACACATGTAGCAGGAACGCTTTTATTTATTTCGCATTGATCAAAGGGATGATTCTGAGAACATTTGACACAATTATAATTTCTGTTGCAGTACCGTTGGGTATGATTGAACGATTGACAACCGAGGTAGTGCCCATAACCGAGGTAGTGCTGTAGATTTTTTTCACATCATTTTCTTTGCTGAATGTTAAAGTGAACAGTGGCATCTTCTAACTATTCTGGAGCCATCTTGGTTTGTGATAGTATCTCTTTTTATCAAATTTATCGCACTTACGGCGTTGAAACCTTGCATTAAGAAGTCTTCAAGTATGTCCTTTTCCTTACATGACGAATCAAGTCCTCTCGCTACAACTCTAATTGGCCTATCAAATTGGTCTTCGTAGGTGTGGTATTGTATTTGAAGTTGATTCAGTTTTGCGGTAAGAGCCCTGTATGAGTCACTGCTTGGCGTATTAACTTTCCAGTTCTGATCCTTGATTGGAGTAAATTTACATGGTTCTTTGGTTGCATCTACTGTGACTTCCTTAAGGAAATCAAAGGTTTCGATTTCAGAGACATATATAGGTGGTGGTATATGCTTATCCGTTCTGTCTACTACTGTTGTGCTTTTATTGTTCTTAGCTTGTTCTTTTCCTTGAACATTTTTCTCTACCTCAATATTTTGGGATGGGTTTGTTCAATGTGTATACCTTGCTTACTAGTTTTCTTTTCCTCACTTTTTTTATTTTTTTTTGCCATATTTGAACTGACACCAATAGGTTTTTCGGGTGATCTTTTGGCCTTTCTTTTCGTGACAGGTTTTGGTTTAAAATTAAAAGATTTAGCTAACATGGTGTTGCTGTCTTCGGTTTCAAAAACAGTAAAGTCCTCTTCACTTGTGCTAGGTGCTGTACGCACTTTTGCTACTTTTGGTGGTTCTGAATTATTTAGGCTACTATTGTTTCTTTTTACCTTTTCCAGCTCTGCTTTCAGTGCTGCGTTTTCTTCTTTTAGTTCTTTAATTTCGTTTCTAAGTTTTTGACATACATTTAAAGCATCATCCTTTCGGTTAACCGTGCCACGTACAGAGTACTTCTTGGAAACGTTTACCTCTGGTATCTGACTCTCCCTGTTGTCACTTTGGTTGTTTTTATCTGTCATCGCTACAGCCTCCTCTAACTTCTTCCAATAATCATCGGGAGGAGTACGTGGTGTTAATGTGCTCCTCCCCGAAATACTATTTGTCGGAGTTACCGATGTCGAAGTTGAATTAAGCAATAGTTGCCCCCCCCCCCCCCCAGAATCCGTGGGACTATCATTGGAGGGTGGATTTACCAGACTAAGTGGCTTACCACTTGGGGTAATCAATCCTTTTGTTTTTTCCATTGCATCTTCATCTACGTGTAATCCTCGTCAGGAGCCCTTACAAGGTACTATCAGCCGGGCCAGCTGAACCTTGGTTTTTTAACCAGGTTGTTACTCCCCCCCCCCTCCTCCTTTCTCATTCGGGCTTGGGACCGACAATGGCGGAGTTTTCTTCTTGAAAACTTGAAAAATTTATTCAAAGCTGTTAATTTGATTAAAACTAAATTAAGAAACTCCTTTTAGTGGCAAGCAACATTTTAAATTTAAAAGAATTATATAAGTGTTATTTTTGGGTGTTTTTTTTAACATTTTAAGGTATTTTCTGATTATCATAACTACAGACTAAACTTTGAAAAAAGGATAAACGTATATGAAGTTTCATGTAAAAAATATTATTTTAAGTTTTAAGTTATTGTGATATTTTTAATGCGAATTTATTTATTAATTTGTACATAATTTTTGTTCAAGGTTTTTGTTTTGTTTTTTGATTTTTTTTTTGTATTTTTTGAAAATGGATCCCTTTTTGGAATATTTCTGCTCGTAATTCAAAGAACCAAACGACAACCCTGACTGAAAGCTTTTCATTATTTTACTCAAGTATACAAGTTCCAATGCTCAGAGAGAAACTTGAAAGCACGACCTTATTTTATATGGGTTTTTTTAAATCGAAGTGGCTATTTTTTGAGAAGAAATACTAAAATAAATTCACACTTATTATAAAGCAGGTAAAATTTGAAAAATATATTAATATTTTTATTCATAATTATATTAAAATTCTTGAAACAGCGGAAAAACAACAAGCACAACCTTCGCCTCCAATCTTTTATATGTTACTGAAAGCATTTCATTGTTTTTAAGTTAACTTAAGATATGGGAAGTAACTGTGGTGTCAAGTTGAAAATATAATTAATGAAAGATAATTATTAAATATTGATATGAATACATAGTAAAGAAAAAATTTGAAGAGGGAATTAGAAAATAATATCTAAAATACAAACTTTTTTTTATTTTATTTTATTTATTTATATGAAAAATACAATACTTTTTTTTATACAAATAATCATGTATGTAAGTAGTTAATTAATTAATAGAGATCAGTTAATAATAGTAACTTTTCAACTAAAATTGTTAATTAATCGATAAAGATTTTACTTCTAGCAGAATAAACAAACTGAAAATTGTACAAATTTTATTTTGGAAAAAATTTACAAAACGAATTAATTTTTAATTTTATGTAAAAAAACTTATACTAAGAAACAAAAACAGACAAAAAAAGTATTACGAAGCTTGCTGTTCATCAGGATCTAACGCCAAAGCTCTTCCCATTCGATTATTTACAAATCTACAATTAATCAAAAGACGTTCGTATGAAGTTTCTACTTTTTAGCACTTTTCCAAAAAATTTTTGAAAAAAAGTGCTTATTAGTTTCACTCTGTCCGTCCGTCCGTCCGTCCGTCCGTCCGTCCGTCCGTCTGTCCGTGTGTCTGTTTACAAAACTTCTACACCCTTCAAGATAGAAAGCTGAAATTTTGTACGTACATAGATTATTACTAGAAACTTATTTTCGTAGAACAAAATTTTTATCTATCTCCCCCCCTTTAGAAGTTATACCCCCCCGAAACCCTAAAAATGCCATTCTTTAACTATTTAGTGCAATGAAACCATAAGGATTTTTCAAATTTTGCAAACGCAGAAAGGCAGTGGTTTGCTTCCCCTAGCGGGGTATACTAAAGGTTAACTTTAGAAAAACAAAATGGCCGCTCAAATTTACCGTTATCTAAAGTCAGTTTTTTCCAAATTTTTGATATGGTTTATTTTCTAGACCCCAACCTGTAGAAGCTTGAAATTTTATGGGCTTTTAGACATTAACAAATAGTTCATTTCGTTGGAAGAAAATTTTTTTCCATCTCCTTCCCCTCTCAAGTTATTGCCTCTTAAAATTTGTAAAATTTGAATTTTTGACACCTTATATTTCCGAAACCGCAAGCTTTTTCAAATTTCTATAAACACAAAAAGCTAACGGTAAATTCCATGACATTAAAAAATATAATTATTTTTCTTAACTCAAATAATTAAACCTTAAAATCGATCATTATGTTAACCCCTCTTTGTATTAATTTTTGCTTTATTTCAAAGACTGCATAAATCGTTCATCCTAAATATATGCAATCCTCGCAAGAGTTTTATATGAATGAAAATAATTTTTAGAATGTGTGAATGGTATACATAGACTGTATTTAAAAGCAGAATTTTCACTTGCTGAAGGGAAAAGTGCTACAATACAAACCATTGGTTTGACCCAACTTTATTCAAAAATACTTTTTGCTTTATTATGCAATTTTCTTGTCGAATAGTACCAAGGTAAATTTAAGCACATTTTAAGGATTTTATTTTGGCAAACTTGTAGTTTCTGCCAGTGGTATCTAGCCATACTTTGCCATACTGGTGAAGCGTATAATAAGTATGATTGGAAGATAGATTTTAATATTAAAATTTTGTTTTTTTAAATAGGAATTTCTGTTTATAAGTGGATACAACGTCTTAATTAGTACATTAGCTCCTTTAATTTTATTTGTAGTATTTATATTAAATTTTAATTTGGGATACAAAAAAATACCAACGTATTTGATACTGGAGCCCCAGTCGACTGGATTATTATCTAAAATTAAATTCCTATTTGGTAGATAAACCGTATTGTGCCTTCTTGTAAAGAAGATACATACATTGGGTTTTTGTTGTGTTAATTTTGATTTTCCACTTTGTGAAATAATCCTTCAAAACATTAAAACCTCTTTCTAAATTTTGAATAATTTCATTAGGGCTTTCAGAAGAACTCATGAGGGCGGTATTATCAGCGAAAAACCCCAAAGTGCAGTTTTCTGGTATTCGAATGTCGCTGGTTATGTGTTGGAATATTGTATAGCAACGGACTAATACAAGAATCTTGTGGCAATCCATATAAAATTTTTTTTTCAGCCCAGTATGTGTTATATATTTTGACTTTGAATTTTCTATTTTTTAAAAAACTATGGATTATTTTAATTAAATAATATGGGAAATGGAATTTCTACCATACCAGTAGAAATTTTTAACGAAAACTTAGAGTTTATTAGATTTTTAATTCTCAATACTTGGTGACACGTTTGATGTTTTTCTCGAAAACCGAATTGTTCATGTGGTAAGATTAGTTTTTCTTCAATAAATAAATGCAACCGGGTTTTTATACCTCTTTAAAATATTTTGCCTAAGGAACTTAATAGGTTAATAGACCTATAACTTGATATTAGAGTACGAGGTTTGCTAGACTTTCATATGCAAATAATTGAAGCATTTTTCCAGCTATCAGGAAAGTAATTATAAGAAAGTTCTAAGAAATTTTATAGCTCGGTTCAGTAGCATTTTTAACATTTTATTATTAATTCCATCTTCACCGGGACTTTAATTGTCTTTTTGTGATTCAGTAATGTTTTTTACTTCCACAGAAGTGAATTTTTGTATAGAATTTGAGTTAATATTTATACTTGACAAAGTGCGTAAACTTAAATTTACCGCATTCTCAGTTTGTGGATCACTGGTGTTGTATGAAATAATCCGCTAGTGCATTAGCTTTTTCCGCGTTGCTTAGAAGCAGTTTATGATTATATTTCTTAGTAATTTGCAAACTTTCCAAAAAGACTTGCTACCAGTTTCAAAACTATTTAATAATGATGGCCATTTTTATACCCTGCACTTCGTGAAGAGTATATTAACTTTGGTATGGAGTTTGTAACTACTTGAAGGAGTCATCTGCGGTATGGACATATTTATATATTTTTGCTCCGCGTAAAATTCTGCGTCGATTTAGACATGTCCGTCTGTCAGTCCGTCCGTCCGTCCGTCCGATCGCACGATAACTCAAAAACGAATAATGCAATCGACACCAAACTTTCACAAGTTTTTTCTTTTGTGCCAAGGACGAGCCCTATTGTTATTGCACTAATTCGGACAACGGGTTCGGGTAGCTGTCATACAACTCAAAGAGTTTATTTTAAATATTTCGAAAACTAATAAAGCTATAAATATAAAATTTTGTATACATGTGTCCAATTATATTCTACACATGTTCCAAAAATTATATGGGGATAGCTGCACCGGTTCGGGTGGCTGTCATACAACTCCAACAGCAAATTTTTTATATTCGGAAAAATAATAAAGTCAGATTCATGAAACTTGGCAGTCATGTGTCCAATTATAGGTCAAATATATTTCTGAAGTTTTAGAGGAGTTGCTTGACAGGTTCAGGCACCTGCCATACAACTCCAGAAGCTAATTTTAAATATTTGGAAAAATAATATAGTCAGATACATGAAACTTGGCAGTTGTGTGTCGAGTTATAGGCCAGATATATTTCTCAAGTTTTGGTGGGATTGTTTGACAGGTTCGAGTAGCTCCCATACAAGTTTAAAAGCGTATTTTAAATTTTTGGAAAAATAATAAAGTCAGATTCTTGAGCTTTGGCAGTCGTGTGTCCAATTATAGGTCAGACATATTTCTGAAGTTTTGATGGAATTGCTTGAAAGGTTCGGATACTTGCCATACAACTCCAAAAGCTTATTTTAAATATTTGGAAAAATAATAAAGTCAGATTCATGAAACTTGGCAGTTGTGTGTCGAGTTATAGGTCAGATATATTTCTGAAGTTTTGGTTGAATTGCTCTACAGCTACGATTAGCTCCCATACAAGTCCAAAAGTTTAAATATATGGAAAAATAAAGTCAGATTCATGAAACTTGGCAGTTGTGTGTCCAGTTATAAATCAGACATATCCGTGAAATTTCTATAGAATGGTTTCAAAGGTTTGAGTAATTGCTATACAACAACGAAAGGTGCAGGGTATAATTCAATCGGGTTATACCGACAGAAACGTTTTTACTTGTTTATTTTTCATTTCTTGAATTTTCGCTTGTATTGTTTTAATTAATTTTCTAAATGCTTTTTTTGTATTTATGTTCCAGTTTCTTTGCCGTTGTCTACGAAGCAT